AGGTCTGGTTTTTCTTTTAGAATAGTGCAGGATAAAAACTTACATGTTTTTCTTTGTCTATTTTATTTTTTTAAATGAAACAAATATTCCTCTGTCTCCAAACGAGAAAAATTGTTTTATTCCCAATAGTACCATGTAAAATGGAACAGAGGGCGTAGTGATCTATGCTCACAAACTATTACTGGTGTGATATCTTTTATACAGTTCTTCTCCTTCTTTTACAAGACGCTCCGACCGTTATTGTTGTCTCTGTTTCTTGTCTGTGCAGTACTTAATTCTTCTCTCTCTCTTTTGCCCTTATTGCAGTGTTCCAACGGTCACACACTGTGTTCTGGTTGCAAACCTAGGGTGCATAATCGCTGTCCAACATGTCGGCATGAGCTTGGTAATATTCGATGCCTTGCATTAGAGAAGGTTGCTGCATCTCTTGAGCTCCCATGTAAATATCAGAGCTTTGGATGTATAGGAATCATTCCTTACTACAGCAAGCTGAAGCACGAATCTGAATGCTCTTTCAGACCCTATAATTGCCCCTATGCTGGCTCAGAGTGCACCGTCATTGGCGACATCCCATATTTAGTTGCCCATTTGAAAGATGATCACAAAGTTGATATGCATGTCGGCAGTACTTTCAATCATCGTTATGTAAAAGCAAATCCCCATGAAGTGGAAAATGCTACATGGATGCTTACTGTAAGTACTGTTGCTCTTCTTCCATTCACTGCAGATTGGCTTTTGGTCTGATTCAAAGTAGGCAACTCTAGCAAACAATTCTGAAAGTGTGCTAGATTTGTGTATAGGGGAATGTTAATAGTGTGACTTCTTTGCTGTGAAGTATGGGAGCATGAATATTATGCTGTGAGTTCAAGACTGACTTAAGTCTTTTTGTTTTTTAGTATTTGCAGTCGAGATGCTATAAGGTTCTATTTGGCATCCCTACTTTTCGCTTCTTTTGATTGGGGGGCGAAATAATGCTTTTTAAATAATAAATTCAGTTTGTTCATAATAGGAATAACAAATCAAATTCTTCACTTTCTTTTATTAGCATACTACTTGCCCATAACCTTGAAGAAAATAGAGGGAGGAGATGAGGGGAGTGGCTTGGTGGTCTTCTTGTTCATTTTTTATTGCTTGTTTTTTGTTTAGGATATTGCTTGATTACGTAAGCTGGAAAGCCATTAATGTTTTGACCGATACCCTTAATCTCAGTGGTAGATCATTTGGCTGTATGAACTGGAATATCCTTAATCTTTGGACATGAGCACTGGCATATCTTTTATGTAATTTGGCTGCCCATTGTAAAGTGGCTGTTGTTTTGTGGGCCTTTTGAATTTGGAGGATCAATTATTTGGCATCATATTCTAACGTTGTAATTTCAAAACGGATGAGGGATCTTTTCTGCATTAAAAAAAAACCTTTTGCTAAATTTGCTCTTTTAAGGAAAAGCTTGAGCCAGGAAAATTTAGCCAATGAAGATGGCAAAGATCTTTCTTTCCATGGCAAATCCCATGTACTAGGATCTTCTCGTCTCCAACAAAGTTGGCTAGCTTGGCAGATTGTTCTGTACCTACCTGGTTATATGTTATGCTGTACCTTTTTCTGTGTGCTGTCTTTTTCACTATGTGGAATCTAATCAGCGGTTTTTTAGCTGATATTGTTGCTTAACTTTTGGTCCTGTACTTTGAGTTCATATCTGGAATAATGTGGTCTCATTTTAATTTTCCTCCAGGTTTTCAGTTGCTTTGGTCAGTACTTCTGTTTACACTTTGAAGCATTTCAACTTGGAATGGCACCGGTCTATATTGCATTTTTACGGTTCATGGGTGATGATGAAACGGCAAAGAACTTTAGCTACAGTCTTGAAGTTGGAGGCAACGGAAGGAAGATGATTTGGCAAGGGGTACCAAGAAGCGTTAGGGATAGTCACCGTAAGGTTAGAGACAGTTTTGATGGCCTCATCATTCAACGTAATATGGCGCTCTTCTTTTCTGGTGGAGACCGGAAAGAATTGAAGCTTAGAGTTACTGGTAGGATATGGAAAGAACAATGATGTCGCAGGAGACTTCTTAGTACTCTTTTTTGATCTAAGAGACTTCTTAGTACTCTTTCAATCCAAGGATTAGGTTTTATTCATCTAGCAATCCATTGAAGTCTTCTGATCAATGTATTTTTCTTGAACAAGGAGCAACCTCTCTTTGCTTTTCCTTGATAAAAATACATTAGTGAGAAGTCCTAGTAATTTTGATTTTTGAGGAATGCATCTTGCTCTAGGTGGTATTGCTGACTAAAGTGTGCTACAGTGAAAGATGTCAATCCATGAAATTCTTTTTGTTGAAATATCCATTGCAGAATGCCCCTATATTCTCTTCCATAAGCTTGTTAATCAAAAGTGGGATTGGTTCAAAAATCAGGTAAATAATGTAGATTCTAACATGTTAATTTGTTATTTCCAGTGATAGAATTGTGAAATATATAGACAAATGTGAGAAGCTACTATAAATTTAGGAAGTGTGTTTGCATTATAATAATCGTGTAGTAACCAGTCAAAAGGTAACATGTTTGAGAGCATGTTCATAGTGAAACCATGTTATACATAATTCGACTTAAGACTTTATTTAGTAAGTTTTACAAATTATATGACATGTTTAAGACTATAATTTTTAAAGGATATATTTGCTATTTTATATATATCTTTATTATAGACTGCAAGAATTAGTTTTTTTTCTACATTCTTATATTTTCTAAGTTAAGATTACAAGTTTTTTAGAGAATAATTCTAAACTTTCTGCATAATTAAATTAAACTTGATGTCCTTTTACCTCAGTTGTAGGGACCAGTATGACGCAGCTTGAAGCCTTCAACCCACTGCCAGTCTGCCACATTCTCATATAATAGAATATTTTTATTTGACGGAAAAAAAAAAAAGAGAATTCTTTATTTAAATGATTTTATTTTACTGACAAGCCCAATTTAGGGTCCACATAAATTTCTGGCTAAGAATGCAACTGCTTTTCTCTTTCTGTCTGCCAAAAATTTGGACCACTTCGTCTTTCCCCTCCAAGCCACATATATTCTGTTTCCCATTTTTCTTTTTTCTTTATTGGGGGTAAATTACATATACACCTACTATTAATTTACCAACGTATTTTATATTACAGTCGACTGATATTATATTTAATAAAATGAAAAATATCTTAGTTAAAATGGGTTTGTTATGTCGTTTGAAATCCTTTACATGCTTAGGTGATTTTTCTTCATTTCTTTTGAAGTACTATTTTTGCCTAAAATTACGCAATATTATAATTTTGGAATTTTTTTTTGGTGAGACTAACTTTCGTTATCGTTGAAGTTATAAAACGTGCATTTACATAATAATATATAAAGTAATAATTATTTCATAGAATTCATTTAAAAGTTAATTAAATTAATGCTTTACTTGAAATCTTGTAACTAGAATATAGTGTTTTTTTTCTAAATTTAAGTAAGAGAAAAAGTAAAAAGAAGCTAAGAATAGTGAAAGCCAACGTGACAACTCCCTGTAAAATGTTTTACTGCTTTGGTAAATACCGGTCTCACCACACTCCACAGAGAAACAACAGTTGGAAACTTCCGCTGCTGCTACCAACACTGAATAAAAGCTCTGAGAAAGAAAAGAACACAGGAAACGCCAGAAATAAAACCGCTTACTATTTATTTTCTATTCTGTACGTGAAGCTCTCCCTAAAAGGTGAATTTTTCTGTTCAAAAACCTAATTTGTTTTCAAATTAATAAAAGGTTGGATTTCGGAACAAAAAATTGAGGAATTGAGCTTCCTACTTTGGGTGCTTGCATGTATAAAAATTCATTTATGAGGTGTTCGTTTGAGCTGTTTAAGTTTTCAGTTGCTTATGAGGTGAATTTTTCTTATGCTTTATATTTCGATTTGAAATCTAACTTTATTTTTATCGTAATTGAGTTTATGTGCTGAATATGTTGAGATATTATAATGCCAGGACTCTGAATTTTTTCGTGTTATTATCTAATTGTATTTCAATTTCTAATGTTGAATTTAGAGTTTGCATGTTTTTGCATAAAAAAAGTGAAGAAGTCTCAAAAGGAACGGAAAATTGGATTTGAGCTTAGCATCTTCGGTTATTTGTTTCTTTTCTAGTACGGAACTTTTGTTACTTAACTGGAGCGTGTGAAAATTCATGTACTTTTAAGGTTGATTTGTAGTTTGAAAGATGAAAAAAATGAATAGTAAGATGTGTCTGTTTTAATTGCATAAGTAATTTGGATTTGTGGCATGGATATCCGTAGGAAATGGGTTTATGTGTAGAAATGCTGAGATATGAGAGAGGAAGAAGTCTGGTCATTATATATGAAGGTTGAATTTAGGTTGTGTATGGAATTACTTATGCTTGTTCAGGTATATTTGTGGTACAGTATGTGCTATTTTTTTGCTGATCCGTCCTTTTCTTTTAACTGCATAGGTTTGTTAATTTGGGGATTCTGTGACAAGCAGCGTCATGACGTCCTCGCTTCATTATCATTCAGGTTATTTTCTGGTTTTCCAGTACACTATTTTGTCGGTGGTATAAATTTGTTTCTCGAGTCCTTAAATGTGTTATGTTGAGCGTGAAGTTAGCTTGATTCACATGTCTTTCATTACTGAGTGATGTCAGTACCCTTGCTCTTCTGCACATATAGTGTGATATGAACCCTTACTCCCGTGGTAGGAAAACCTGGCACATTTTTTGTGTGATTCCTCCAGTTTTCTGAGTTGAAGCATATTCATGACATCAAATGTGCAGCTTGAGAAATTTTCCGTACTATTGTGTAAGATTTTTTATTTATTTATTTATTATTATAAGTATTGTGGAAGATTGTTAAAAAAATGAAGGCAGTTGGAAGAATGCCACTATGCATCCCTTGGCTAATTTGGAATGAAAGATGTAGGTTCTAAAATAACTAAAGGGATGTAAAAAATATAAGATAATGTTGTAAAGCAAATATCCCAGTATGTGTAGATAGTCAAGATTCGGGAGTACTTGTTAGATGACACTGGTTGATCCGATTATCTTTTAATACATTCTTTTGATGCCTTTCATGGTGTGTTATCAATAAAAAGTTGTCTTATCAAAAGATTTTGGCTTATCATAAAAGAAGAAAAGAAATTACTGCCAGTATATGCTTTTGTTTCACATTCGATTTGTAAAGAAACAGAGTCAACTCGGACAAAAGCAGGAGGAGGCTAAAGTAAATTGGGTATGTGCTTTTGGTTACATAATGAAAAGGTTCTAATTCCCGTGTTACTGCAATAAATGTCAGATGGTAGTGAGAATGAACAGCCAGAGAAGCAATCAGAGGCTCACAGCGAGTCTTCATCCCCTGCTACTGGAATGTCTGTGCCTGGTATTGCAACACCAAATATGCACTATGTGATGCCCACTCAACTTGGCAATGGAAATGCTATGGTATATTTGAAGCTCATATTAACTTCTACTGCCAGATTTGTGAAAAATCGCTATTAAGTCCGAATCTGATATCTTCTTCTATGTGGTCATTATTCTTGCTGACAGATGCAACCACCCTCCTGTTCATTCGATCAGATGTGTTCCTAGAAGTGTTAACTTTGATTGAACTAGGGGCCTCGTCAAATAGGCTATAGATATCTCAAGAATTAACTGATTGAAAACAAAAGAGTTAGGGCATGGAAATATATTGATGATGGTTCTGTGAGTATTATCATTGTTGCACTTGTTAATAGGCTTCTTTGTTTTGTGAGATAAAGTGCCCTTGTTCATAGTTGGTCATAACAAGAAATTATGTGGTTCTGATCTTCCTTGACCACTTTGATACTTGAAATAGGGAACCGTGTATAAAACTTGCCCAAATAATCGAATGTGTAAAATCATGAAAGCCCAAGTTGATAATAAATAGGTTAAGGCGGGGCATAATGGAACTATGATTGCACTTATGATTCTTGTATCTAGGGATGAATCCATATGATGCAAAGGATGCCTAGGCTATTATTTTGTGACAGTAATTTCAGATATATGAATTAATATACTGATGTTTCACGTCAACCTATAAATTGAGAAAAGTTGCTTCTTAGATAAGCATAACAGAATAGGCTGGGGTCGTTCGGACTATTTGAGAAAGTAATAGGTGAATATGAACCTAAGAAGAGGCAGATTAATGCATCAAGTCTTAGTAGTATTCCAAATGTACTTGGGAGTAGGATGGGAGATGTTTCTGCTTATAGATTGTCATGTTGTCGACCTGGCTGATATAATAAAGGCTGATAGCCTCTGACTGCGAATTCGAAAATTTGCATATTTCTCGAAGGAGTTAGATATTGCTTTTGATCACTGATAAAAACGTTCAGTTGTGAGAAAAAATACCATGTCTAGTGTGTGCTTATGTAAGTAGCATAATGTTTTGAATGGTGATGTTGTAACATCGAGAATACGTATTTCATGGCTTTTCGATATTTACGACCTGTCATGGGTGGATTTTTCAATCATAACTGAAGACCTTGGGAAAGTTTATATTTCCATTTTAGGCTTGTCTTCTGGTATTTTCATTGGTCTGGCAAATTGGTATGACCAGGTTAGATACACACACTTTTATTTTAATCTCCCTATTTGGTTTTAAGTAAAATCCTGTTTTACAAGCTTGTGTTATATGGAACTAATTCTCTAGGAATTGCTTCGTTTTCAGATTGCGAGATCTGTTTGTCACTCTTGCTCTAGGAACTGCACTTGCCACAATTTGGCTAAAATTTTCGTGTAGGTCTGTTGGCCTAGAGTTTCGTTTAAGGCAAGTCTTTGTCCTATAGGAGGGATACACTAGCAGAATTCCTTGATCACCGTGGAAGGGATGATCTGAATCAAGTAGATTTTTGATGCAGCAGCTTGAAGTATACAGTTAGTTATACTGTAAATGCTTGTCTAAATGCAATTGCTTTTTAAGTTTTGCCAGCTTTCAGCTTCTGGACGAAATTTAGTGCTGTAATTGTTTCCAACTGTCGTTGAAAATCCGTGGTCCCTATTCAGATAGACTGCTGCCTAAAGATTAACCTGGAACTGGATGTTTTAGCTCCCTCCTCTCTTACATTTGACACACATAATACCAGCTATGTTAAGTATTCTTAGTAGGACATCCTTTTTTATTGGACAGCTTCTAAAGAATCTAATAGAGACTATAGATCTTTAAGGTACCAGTTTAGGAGTTATTTGAAGCCCATTTCTGTGTCTACTAATTCTATATACACACTTTGGTGATTGGTTGTCTTGCTTCTATTTTTATGATAATAAATCTGCATCAATTTTTCATTAGTTGCAGGCTCAAACAGCTTATCCTTATCCAGATCCATACTATAGGAGCATCTTTGCACCATACGATGCACAGCCTTATCCTACACAACCTTATCCAGCACAACCAATGGTATTAGATTTTTCTTAACATTTTTCATTTGGAATTTATCTTAGAAATGTCCCTAAAAAGTTGAGAGCTGTATTTATGCCATTTTCTCTCAGGTTCACGTTCAGCTAATGGGAATTCAACAAGCTGGTGTTCCTTTGCCATCAGACGCAATAGACGAACCTGTTTTTGTTAATGCAAAACAGTATCATGGCATCTTGAGGCGTCGACAATCTCGCGCGAAAGCTGAGTCAGAGAAGAAACTTCTGAAAGCTAGGAAGGTATTTCTCGGGAATGCATTTTTGTCTTGTTATTTGTTAAGCTATTCAGTAGTCCAGTATTATTATTTACAGGTTGTTTACAGGTGACCTGGCAGCTTGTTCTTGTTTCATCTGCTGATTTATCATTTCCTAGTTTAAAAGCCTTCTAAATGTTAAAATTGCAAGTTATGCGCATACTTTTAAGGGTCTATGCATTTCTAGTCCTTCTATAAAATAACACATGCATGGATTAGTTATGTTAGGATTATAATACATGATTTGTTATGCCGTGAATAATATATAGGGATTATTATGAGATGAATAATTATGTATGGGTTGTTACACATCAAGTAATATGTAAGGATTGCTATGCAGCTACTTTGAGAGCATCTTTGGTAGATACTTCTTGGTATACTAATATCTGCATTTTGTCCCACATAAAATAATACGTAGATTTCTGCATAAGTTAGGTCGATATTAGTAGTGCAGAGTCTAATGCCAGAAATAAAATACTAAAGGGTCGTTTCGTTTGGAATAAGGCTATTATAGGATTAAAATCCCGGTAACTAAACGACCCCTAAGTTATTAATGTCGAGTTCTATGTTGCAAACCTAACGTATTAGTTATGCAGAATTTTATTCCATGATTGTTTTTCCTTATGAGGCCAACCAAACGACGCCAAAATCTTAAATTTCTTTTGGATAGCTGAGCATGAAAGAGACAGCAGAGCAAGTTCTCAAATAGATTTTTGCTGGACTGTAACTTTAGACCCCTCTTTTTTCTGTTGCTACACGTAAAAGATCTTAGTAGTTGATAGCATGCCATATTATTTTCGCATTACATTGTACAAAGGTTTTTGATGCAACAAAAGCTCTTAATTTTAGAACATCTATATTATTGATCAGTTGTCCATCAAAGTTGCTATAATCTTTGGGCATACATCATTTAGATGTAATAAGAAAAGACCCTTAATTTGGAGCTGGGGAAAATTTTTCTTGCTGTTTGACATACTTTCATTAATTACCTTTTGAGGGAGCATCATAGAGTTGCAGGTTACATGTGCTGTAGTTTCAAATTCACTCCGTCTTGAAAGTTCAAGTACAAGAAAGAAAGCAGTTTTGGCTAACTGCTTTTTCAACCTTCTTATGCATTACATACCGAGCCTGATATAGCCTATTAAAAAAGTTTTAAAGCCTGTCTTTGGAATTCTCGGGTTTAGTGATCTAATTGCATAATCCTCGTTTGACAAATTTTGAGAGCTACTCATGGTTCCATTTAAATGGAAATAATGGAAGTATATTTGCACATGGAGCAATGTGAAAGCAAAAAAATGTGATTAAATATTTCGTTTGTAAAATAAACATAATACTGCAAGATCTAATGCATATTTTGGGGCTAATTTATCTAGATTGGTACTGCTCCAAGTTCGCTTTGGACCCAGCAGAATCTGGTTTTAACTTTTGTGTAGAATTCATCATGAAGAACTAATACCTCAAACTGGGATAGAACAGGATCACTTTGCTCCTAGAAATCTGGATTTAGTTTCCTAAGGGTTTCTATGTGTTGCTCACGGTAATGGGGGGACTACGTGATGTTTTACCTAACTTTTTTGTACTTTCAATATCTTTTCCTTTTTGCTTTGTGCGTCTCTTTTCAGCCAGGAAAATACTTTCGAAAGTATTCTTGCTTTTTTCTTCTATTGAAACTTCGTTTTTGATTGTAGAAATTCCCATTAACATCAGAAATAAAACTGAATAAACGAAAACCTCCAATGCTCATGTTCTTTGACCTGGGCTCTCCAAGGCTCTTTCAATCTCGGACCATTCCCTGGACTACCTTCCTGCTACTGAAATTTATGTGATGATTTTGACGGCTTTCAAATCTTATTCAATCTGATTAGATATGTAACTGAAACAAAGTGATTCCATTTTGGGTTCGTAATTTGAGGATCTATCTCCTATAAAAAAGAATCTTATCTATTAATTTGTGTATCTGGAAAGTTATGGGTTCTGATCAATAATGTGTTTTACTCCGTAATAAATAGCTCAAAGATGAATATCAACTGTGCTGGACCATCTCTGCCAGACCCAATATCATACAGTTGGTAATGAGGTGCCTTACCCCATGATAGAAGTTCTTATATCTGTTTCTGAGGCTATGTTATTCCAGCACCAATTCCTTGGGAAGCTCACAGTGCAAAATAATCTTGCAGCCGTACTTGCATGAATCACGCCATTTGCATGCACTGAAAAGAGCTAGAGGATGTGGGGGTCGTTTTACAGCGAAGAAAACTGATAACCAGCAGAAACAGGACGAATCAGGTGATAACTCACAGGTCAACATTAATCTTGAGTCTGAAAAAAACGAGGTTGCTTCTGCAGAGAACGCCTCTTGATTTATGCAGCAATGCAATGTCAAGGGTCTTTGTGGACCACGAAAACAGCATGCTTTCGTCAAAGTGAAACTGTGGCAGCTGGACAAAATAAGGGTGATTGTGGTGTTCTGTATGATTATCTCAGTATAGAAAGATCTGAATAGGCTACTTGTTTGAGAGTTACAAAGTGGTCACTGGGCGTATATTCTCAAAATACTATCTTTCTGAACTTGTTCGTATACATTCTTCTTATCCTGTTGATTTGTAATTACTTTGAGATTTGTTCAAACTGTAGCTCTGGTAGCTTTACAAAATATTGAGTCAGAAAGTAGAGTTCACAACATTTGACATTATGTCCGTTAGTTTAGGAAGATAAGCTTGTAGTGCTGCTGGTTGATGGACTCTCATTTCGAAGATCATGCGTTTTTGTGTCAATATCTCGGTAATAAGAAAAGTTTCCACTGTGATTACTGCTGCTTGATTTTTGTCTTGCAAAGCAACGGGTCTTATATTCATGTCTTGTGTTTACTTTTAGACGTTCCCAGTCGTGGTGGCTCTGTTAAATTTTGGAAATATTGAATGAGGAAGTAGAGTTCCTTGTACAGTAACATTTAAAATTACGTTCTGTTAGTTTAGGGTAATAAAGGAAACTTGCTATTTCCAGGTGCAGCCACAATGACATGCCCATTTGAGAAATGAAAATCACTAGGGGAAAAAAAGGTTTTAATACATATATGCCAACTTTAGTTGAAGACAAAATTCCCGTTTAACACAGGCCGTATTTCACACCAACGTTTGCCAAAAGTGCCTACCTCTCGCGAACTTTAAGTGCGTAATTGACAACAAATGGATAAGTTAAGACTAATTATGTACTTTCCCTTACTTGGCTGTATAATCAATCAATGCTACTTTCTGCCTCTAGACCAAATATCAAATTTTGGGCAGTGTATATCATCCTTGGCCATTGTTCACTCATCACTTATCCATCCATTACCGATTCAACTTAAATTTTATGTTTAACCTACAGATCGAGCATCACCTTTTAGGAATCCAAGTTACGGCAACAGAACATCCAATACACCCCCGTTATTCAATGACAAAGTTCTCTCTCGGATCAGGTTCACAAATATTGTAGGACAGAGAAATTAACTCCACCCATAGACCAATGCAGAATTCATATACCTTATACTACAGCAAGAGGCCTGGGGGGTAAGGTCGGAAATCTAGTATAACCCTTTCTGGAACAAAAATATAAATCATAATTTCAGAAGCCAAAGAATTCAGCGAGTAACAGAACAAGAAGAAAGAAAAGAATTCAGCCAGTAACAGAACAAGAAGAAAGTCAAAATCTTCAACTCATCGCACAAAATTTATGTCTTGAAATGATGTTTCAAACAAAATGAAAGCTAATGAAACAAACAAGTCTAACGCTCTTAAAGCCTTAGGTGTTGGTAGCCCTGGTGTAAATCTGCTGGCTAGCATGAGCAGACACCATCCTGATCGACCCTCTAGCCATCAAATCCCTAATTGCCTTCCTAGCAAGGGATCCACTAATCTGCAAATTCAATCAAATGAACAGTATTAGCATAAGGATATCAGCATATAAAATAAGTTGCCTATACCAACTTACTGTCAATATCCAAAGTATCATAAAAAAGTCGGAAAATTCAACAAGACTAAATTTCTTTCATTCAAGAATGAGTCTGCAACAAATCAAAACTGATTCTCCCACACAGCAGCACAGCCACAGTGTTGAACACTGTCGCATGAAAATTCAACTGTATATATGTTAGATATTACGTTTTTTTTTACATTTCTTTAGATTTTGGACCCTTGGCAAAATTCCTGCATTTGCCACAGCTGCCACATCCAAATCCAAGTAGCTCCCAACTCTCTTTTAGAGGAAGATCAAAACGAACTTCCACATTTGAGAAGTTTTTTTCTGTAACCAACTCTCAAGTGTTGTGGGTAATAGGGGAGAAGAGGTCTTTCAAAAGCACTATAGAACAACCCCAAACCCACATGAAATCAATTGGGTGCAAAGCTACTAGTAACCATTTTTCCAATCTCAATTAAACCAATTTGGAATATAGCCACTAGGTATGATTCAATCTTTTAGTTTCCCTGCCTTGGAACATAAATTGAGGTTTTTAACAAACTTTTTATTTTGAAAACACTCATTTTCTCCAAAAGCAAAGACAAAAGCAATTCTTCCAATCATGAGAGTCCAAAAGTAAACTGAAAAATATTCTCAAAGAAACACTGATAAATAATTTCTATTTCAAACGCAACTAGAAGATCATGCTATCATGGTGTACGTCTTATAATCCATGTTTCAGTAAACAGAAAAGGGCATATACCAAGACACAAAATATACATTTCATGTTAAATTTGTATTGTTACTCTATATGTAGCAAGATAAATTTGCATTGTTAATCTATTTTTGAGAGTAATGTAATTCTAAAAACAACTTACATACAACACATTTCCTAAGTCACAATGAACAAAATCATAATTTATCAATAACCGGGGCAATAAAAGCGCAATTGTCCCTTGTTTAAATAATCCAACACAATAAGCAAGCATATTAAGCTGTCACAAAGCACAAAACTTAAAATTCAACCTACTAAAAACTTAGATCCATACCCTCAAACGGTCGGAGAGGACGGAAGGGGTGATGAGCTTATACTTAGGGGCTTCAGACAGGAGCTTTTCGTAAGTGGCCTTATCGAACAAAACCATGTTGTTCACCTTTTCCTTTTGCTTTCCCTTGCTCCATTTCTGTCAATTCAAAAAATACCAACAACATTAAAACCCTCAAATATTCCAACAAAAACGAATAATTGAAGTCATATCAAAAAGGAAAAAGCTATGACCTTCTTCTTCTGCTTTCCACCACCAGACTTGGCGGGTTTGGACGATGGAGGAGGAGCTGCCTTCTTCGGAGCCTGCAAAAATGGCCAACATATCAGCATTCAATTCTCAAACATATANCTATACCTGGGGATTTCTAGGGTTTTTTTATTGGATCAACTCAGATGGGCTTAACTTATTTTGGGCCGATGAGTACTCAGCCTTAAATACATTACAAAAAAATTGCAGAAATATAACACCTTTTGGGTTGGTTTTAATTTTTAACCCATGTTTGTCCATGGGTAGAGCTTTAAGGTCAAAAGTTAAAATTATTGCCCATAGGACAAGAGAGGGGAAACACTTATTAAACTTGATGTTTTGCCCTTGGGACAAGCGTGGACGAGTATTCAAAACTATCCACTTTGAGGGTTATTTGTGACCTAGTTTTAAGTCTTTATATTAAAACATCTAGCATCTCCTAATGTATTTGAAAAAATAATTACAACACAAGTCCGTTCCAATTTTTATTTTTTTTTTAAACTCCAGGACATTATGCTGGAGTTTGAAACTTTTTACATGTGAAAATTATGCTAGAATTTGAAATTTAATTGTCCAAGCTTTTTCATCATATACCATGAATTAATATAAGTATTCATCGCACAGTGATCAAATCTACTCAATCAAATTAGATATCTATTCATTGGTAGCCATCACAACATCCTATCGAGGAAATGATATTTTGTGCCTGCTTACAATTTGAATAGAAGAAAATGGTCTTTTTCATATCTCTTGTTTGTTATTTTCAGATTTTTTATGCGTAAAATTGAATATCGCTTGTAAAAAGACATAAAACTAAAAATAATTTTGTAAAAGGACTACAAAACCAATTCTCCTCCAAGGAGCATGGTCAGTCTTTTTGTCCATTTTACGTATTAAAGTAAATTTAATACCTCTGATTCAACATGGACATGGTATAGATTTAGGCTATCTTTTAAACATAGCTTTAGCCATCACGATTTCCTTCTAATGCTTCCAAACTCACTTTTCAAATGCTCATCTGTTTTCTACTCATAAATAAATAAGTATATTGATAAATAAATAAAAAATATGTTAAAATATGTAGAAGAGTCATAAAAAGTGCTCGACATGTCTGCTATTTGTCATTTATTTCAACTTTATTAATTTAATTTGATTTTATTTCTAACAATGAATATGATCCGGAGATAATATGTAACATTGTACTCTTCCATATTCAACACCCAATTATGAATCATATTAGTTTAAGTGAATGGTTCGGATAGCAGAGTCGTTCGATTATACGTACTGAAAGTGTTATCTTTTAAATCATTGCCATTTTGTGTTCATCTATCTATCTGGCATGAAATTTACAATTGAAATTACCTTTTTATTGTTACACAAATAGCCTGCCAGACTCAATGTTTACTTTTTCTAGCCAGTATACATAAATTATACGTATTTATATATATTATACATAAATTTTACATAAATTATATATCCGCCGGCTATTTTTATCTTAAGAGATTAAGTGGGACGGCTATTTGTGTTAATTCTTTCCCTTTTTCAAGCCTTTTTTGGATTGGCAAAATTGCATTCGAAACTTCATAAAAGAACACTTTTTCACCACTAGCAAGTGCACATGATGGTGTCATAGAAGTATAATTTGAAATTAAATAAGAAAACAGTCCAACTTACACTTTGTATACGGTCAAAATCGGGCTCGCCCCTTGTGTGATTAATCGAGATTGGAATATGATAGGTTAAAGTTCGACCTCGTATTACATCGAACCATGATGCAAAATTAGATCGTCGAGCTCGTGACCCAAAGATCGCTCAGGATCGAGATCGAAGAAAACTTACCGAGCCAAATAACGGACTAGCCGAAATATTCGCGATCGGTCGAGGATCACGGCGGAATTCTCGGCACATATTAAGGAGAGCCCGAGTAATTAGAAAATCATAAGTTTTTTACCTTGTATAGAATTGTACCAAGAGTAGGACACCCCTACTATATAAAGTGGGGTCTGATTATTTGTAATAGACATCATATCAACGCAACATAAAGTAATATACTGACACTTTCTAGCTTCTATTATCTTGTTACTCTATTAGCATGTTCATACTTCAGTTGAAACATCTTTGGTTCGAAGGTAGTCAAACTCAAGGGCCAAGGCAATTTGATACGCGTGGTTTGCATTTATTCTTCTATTGTCAATTTCAATATTAATCTGTCTTCTTAATTTGTGCCAAGTTATATCACGTATCCTTAAAACCGCGTATAAATTCAATTGTTATCCATTTTTTTTGGGTAAACAGTTTGGCGTCCACCGTGGGGCTAAGGATAATAGTAATTATTTCGTGCAAACTTTCATAACACACATTATTTTACTCTTATTCTTTGGAGTGTTTTTTATTCCAGGACCAAAATGTCTAACTCACAATCGGCACCCCTTCATGTTGACAATGATTCTGGCCACCACGGCGAAAATGACAACACAACACCAGGAAATGACGTACCTCTGGTCGATCTCGATGGAGTTCCGGTTGTAGATCCGGTTGACGTCAGTTCGCATGTACCCATCAACGTAAATTTGGTCGTCGATCCCGAGGGCAGTGTCCGTAGGGATGGTCGATCAGCCGCTCAAAGCACCCATGGCGGCGAAGAGGGTAGGATCAGCCTGCGTGTAATCTTTGAAATGTTGCAGGCTCAACAGGCAGTGATAGCCCAGCTCCAAAACCCGAATCGCCCACCGGACAGGATCGAGACCGAGCTATCCCAGGAAGTTGTCCACAAGGTCGAATCAGCTTCAATGAAATCGAACGAGAAAGAATCGGGGACCGACCCTGCAATCATGAAGATGCTCGAAGAGTTGACAAAACGAATCGAGTCGGGGAAAAAGAAGATCGAGGCAAACGATAAGAAAGTGGAAACCTACAATTCCATGGTCGATCAAATCCCGGGGGCACCACCGATATTGAAGGGTCTGAACTCCAAAAAAATTGTACAAAAGCCTTTCCCCCCGAGTGCGGATCCCAAACCGATTCCCAAGAAATTCCGAATGCCCAAAATTTCTAAATATAACGGAACGACCGACCCGAATGAGCATGTCACCTCTTATACATGCGCTATCAAAGGGAATGATCTAGAGGATGACGAGATCGAATCAGTCTTGCTAAAGAAATTCGGAGAGACCCTGTCAAAGGGGGCTATGATATGGTACTACAATTTGCCACCTAATTCTATTGACTCATTTGCTATGCTTGCAGATTCTTTCGTAAAGGCACACGCCGGAGCCATCAAGGTCGAAACCAGGAAATCAGACATTTTCAAGGTAAGGCAGAAGGACAACGAAATGCTTAGAGAATTCGTGTCTCGATTCCAAATGGAACAGATGGACCTGCCACCAGTCGTCGACGATTGGGAAGTTCAAGCTTTCACCCAAAGACTCAATGTTCGAAGATCGGTGGCTTCGTAGTAGTTGAAGTAGAATTTGATAGAATACCCGGTTGTCACTTGGGCCAATGTACATAATCGGTATCTATCGAAGATCAGGGTCTAAGACGACCAACTCGGGGCTCCTTCCGGGTCCGTTTATCCTATCAGACCCGTCGACAGAATTAAGAGGGATATCGACTGATAACCGAGGTCGAACAGATAATGATATCAACCATATAATAGAGATCGCAGGAGCGGCGGACCTGGGCGGAATATTGTACGAAATGAAAAGAGAAGTGATCGAGGTCAGAGCTCTCGAGGGCTCATGAGTAAGAACGGATTCGACAAGCCCATCGGACCTAAAAAGGCACCTCGGTTATCAGAGTACAACTTTATTATTGACGCAGCCACCATCGTATCAGCTATCGGACGTATCAAAGATACCGGATGGCCTCGACCTCTACAAATCGATCCAACACAAAGGAATCCTAACTGAATATGAAAATATCATGGCACACATGGACACATAACGAAGGATTGTCGACAATTGAGAGAAGAAGTACCTTGATTATTCAACAACAGGCATCTTCGAGAATTTCTGAGTGACCGAGCTAAGAATCATTTCATAAATAGGGATTCTAATAAACAGAATGAACAAGACGAGCCCCAACACGTCATTCATATGATCATCGGAGGGGTCGATGTTTCTCAAGGTCCGGTGATAAAACGCACCAAAGTATCAATTATAAGGGAAAAACGGACTCGAGATTACATACCATAAGGAACTTTATCTTTCAACGACGAGGACGCAGAAGGAATCATGCAACCCCATAATGATGCACTGGTAATTTCTGTACTCATGAATAAAACTCAAGTTAAACGCGTGTTAATTGATCTAGGTAGTTCGGCCAACATCATTCGATCGAGGGTTGCAGAACAACTCGACCTACAGGACCAAATCGTGCACGCGGCCCGAGTGCTAAATGGATTCATCATGGCTTGCGAAACTACTAAAGGAGAAATAACGTTGCCGGTAAACATAGCCGGTACCACCCAAGAGACCAAGTTTTATGTGATCGAAGGGGACATGAGGTACAATGCCCTATTCGGGAGGCCATGGATCCACAACATGAGGGTTGTTCCCTCGACCCTTCACCAGGTATTAAAAATTCCGACACCATAAGGGATAAAGACAGTTTATGGGATGCAACCCGCCGCAAAGGATATGTTTGTCGTCGATGAAGTAATTCTGATATCAACACTCTCATCGACAAAGGACTCAGGTTCGAAAGCGAAACAGAAAGCCAAATAGCAATCATCGATGCCAGCCTCAACCCAATAGGACAAGCAAGGTATTGACGAATACGACGATCACGGGGTTCCTCGATCCTTTATAGCTCCCGATGATTTTGATGCTACTAAATCAACGGGCGAAGAGATGGAGCAAGTCATACTGATCGAACATCTACCCGATCGAAAGGTATACTTGGGCACGTGATTAACTCATGAGCTCAAGAAAAGACTCATTCAATTTCTTATTGCTAATATGGATTGTTTTGCTTGGTCCCATCTCGATATGACAGGTATTCCACCAGAGATCACCACTCACAAACTAAGCCTGGACCTAAAATTCCATCCGGTCAAGCAGAAAAGGAGACCGCAGTCCGAG